TTTGTTCCAAACCTCAACTGCTCCTTAATCTCAGTTTCCAAGTTACTTCGACAAACAAGTTGTTATGCTCTATTAACGGATACTTTGTGTGTTTTACAGAACCGTTTCACGAGGACTCTGATTGGAGCCGGTGAAGAGCGTGATGGGGTTTATTATTTCAAGGATGTCATGGCAATAAGGGTCCATCAAGCGTCTGTCTCAGTTGATCAGAGTTTGTGGCACAAAAGGCTAGTACATCCCTCATTTTTGGTGTTTTCGCATTTACCAGTTTCTTCAACATTATCGAATAAAACTGCTGTCCCCAGTCATTGTGACACATGTTTTAGGGCAAAGCAGACAAGAGAAGTTTTTTATGACAGTTTGAATAAATCAAATGAGTGTTTTTCGATTATTCATTGTGATGTTTGGGGTCCATATCGTATTCCGGCTTCCTGTGGAGCTGTATACTTTCTTACAATAGTCGATGATTTTTCAAGAGCTGTATGGACATACTTGCTACTTGCAAAATCAGAAGTTAGTCGTGTGCTTCAAAACTTCTTCTCTTTGACTGAGAAGCAGTTCGGAAAATCAGTTAAAACAGTAAGAAGTGACAACGGCACAGAGTTTATGTGCATGTCAAAGTTCTTTCGTGACCATGGAATAATACACCAAACATCGTGCGTGGCGACTCCGCAACAAAACGGACGAGTCGAACGTAAGCATAGATACCTCTTGAATGTTTCACGTGCCTTGCTTTTCCAAGCCAGCTTACCAATTAAGTTTTGGGGAGAAGCAGTTCTTACTGCAGCTCATCTTATAAATAGAACACCAATGGAAATTCTTCAATGGAGGTCTCCTTATGAAGTATTGTTCGCAAAGAAACCAGCTTACACTGACTTAAGGGTATTTGGTACTCTCTGTCATGCTCATATGCAATCTCGGGATAAGGATAAATTTGGCTCTAGAAGTCGAAGATGCATCTTTGTTGGTTACCCCTTTGGCAAGAAAGGGTGGAAGTTATTCGATTTAGACAAGGAAGAGTTTATTATTTCCCGTGACGTGGTGTTCCACGAACATGAATTTCCATATGCTTCTTTGTCTACGTCTGCAAATCCACAAACTAAGAAATTTACAAAGCACTCAGATCATTATGCAGATGACGATTGGCTTATTGAGCCTGTATCAAATGTAGACGAAAGGGGGAGCACGAGTGACATTTCTCCATCGTTCTCTCCCGCTCTGATTCAAGACATTCCTGATACTGCTGATACGTCAGATCCTCAATCACCACAAACAGCGCTTCCAGATACTACTGATACGTCTGATTCTCACCCATCACTAGAAGTAACACCATCGCCACAGTATTACACTCAGATACAAGCTTCACCACAAACAGATACAGTTGTCACTATCCCGATTGATGAGCTAGGCAAAGGCTTACGAATCAAAAATCTTCCAGAAAAACTCAAGGACTACGTTCTCTACAACGCCATCTGCCCAAATAAACCCCATCTTACATCACGCTCTTCATCTTCAGAGTCTTCCAAAACAGTCCAAGGTAACACACCATATCCTTTAGTTGACTACGTCTCTGATATGATTTTTTCGGAATCGCATAGAGTTTTTTTGGCAGCTGTCACAGCTCAAACAGAACCATATTCTTATGCTGAAGCCGTAAAGTATGAAGAATGGAGAGGTTCTGTAAAAGATGAGGTCACGGCATTGGAAGATCAACACACTTGGGATATTGATACATTGCCACCAGGAAAAGTAGCCCTCAGATGCAAATGGGTATTTCATTTAAAGTTTAACGCCGATGGTACATTGGAAAGACATAAAGCAAGGTTGGTGGTGTTGGGTAATCGACAGATAGAAGGGGAGGATTTTGACGAAACTTTCGCTCCAGTTGCTAAAATGGCAACGGTTCGGAGTTTGTTAAAATTAGTTGCTTCTAAAAGCTGGGAAGTACATCAAATGGATGTCCATAATGCCTTCTTGCACGGCGACCTTGAAGAAGAAGTATACATGAAATTGCCGCCAGGATTCACCCACTCAGATCTTACAAAAGTTTGTCGTCTCCGCAAATCTTTGTACGGGCTTCGCCAAGCCCCTCGATGCTGGTTCCAAAAGTTAACGGCAGCACTAATAAAATTTGGTTTTGTTGAATCCTACTCCGATTATTCATTGTTCATTTACACATCCGGTGAAGTTGAGTTACGAGTTTTAGTCTACGTGGACGACCTCGTCATATGTGGAAATAATGGGGCTGTGTTAGAAAATTTCAAGAAATACTTGTCTGAATGTTTTAAGATGAAAAATCTTGGGAAATTAAAATATTTTTTGGACATCGAAGTAGCACGCTCTCCGGAAAGGATTTTTCTTTCTCAACGGAAATATGCACTCGATGTTGTTGCAGAGGCTGGTCTCCTAAGTTGTAAACCTGTGTTTACTCCCATTGAACAAAATCATAAGCTTGCTTCCGACGATGGTCCCATCTTTCCGGAGCCGAGCAAATACTGGCGTTTAATGGGTCGTTTGGTATACCTGGTCAATACTCTCCCCGAGTTAAGCTATGCAGTACATCTCCTGTCTCAGTTTATGAAGAACCCTCGGGTGGCTCATTGGGAGGCAGCATTGCGGGTTGTTCGCTTCCTGAAAGGTTCGCTTGGCCAAGGTATTTTGTTAACAGCAGACAGTGACTTACGCTTGACAGTTTATTGTGATGCGGATTGGGCTTCATGTCCTTTAACACGCCGTTCTCTCAGCTCTTACGTCGTACTACTTGGCGGGTTTCCAGTTTCTTGGAAAACAAAGAAACAAGATACGGTTTTACACTCATCGGCAGAGGCTGAATATAGAGCAATGGCTGCAGCTACAAGAGAAATCAAATGGATGACACAACTACTTGGAGATCTTGGTGTTCAACATTCGGGTCCTGTTCGCCTTTTCTGTGATAGTCAGGCGGCAATCCATATCGCTGCTAATCCAGTTTTTCATGAACGCACGAAGCATATTGAACGCGATTGTCATAGTATACGTGATGAAGTTAAGGCAGGACGCATTACCACAGTTCACGTCCGCACAAATAATCAGCTAGCCGACATTCTCACTAAAGCCCTCGGCAAGCCACAATTTGATCATTTATTGCCCAAGTTGGGTGTTCTTAATCTCCACACTCCAACTTGAGGGAGAGTATTAGAGAATATATTGTGATAAGGATGAGTATGATACGATAAGGTTCTATTAGGTTTAGATAACTTCAATTTCAAGTTAAAATAGGATTGACGTTTGTGTATAAATACTTTGTATGATTCATCGTTAACAACACATCAATATTCAAAGTACTTTCTCAGATTTACACAGATGTAGCGGTTTGTTAACACCGTGAATCGGGTTAAAATAGTGTCGTCTTCTTTGATTCAAATCTTGGTTTGTGGTTCATGAATCCGTTAATGGGAATTGTGGTGTTCGATTCTTCAACAGTTAATATAGATAAAGAAGGAATTCACCAATATTCGATTCTTCAACAGTTAATAACTTAATATGGATAAAAAAGGAATTCACCAATGTTATATACATAACATAACTTCAAAGTTGATATATGTTAAAAGTATATATATTAAAAAAAAAATATGTAGAGATATTTGATTGCAATAACAAAATTAATCGTTAAAAGAAAACAAAAATGCTTTATTAGAGAAATATATATATATATATATATATATATCCTATAAAAAAATTAAATCAGTCATCATAGTTAATCTTGATTTGTCCAAATATTGAACTTGAACTTTTTATCAGTCATCACACTTTTCTAAATCATCTGAACTAATAAATCTATCGAAATTTTGGTCCATAAAAAAATTAAACTCAAGACTCCAAAAACATACTACTTGGTAAATCAATTATGTTTCCAAAACTATCTTTTACATTTCTTTTTACAAAATTAAGCATAACTTCATCACCAATGGACGTTTTTACTATTTTTTTTAATATGCATTATATTGATTTTATTTTATCTTTCTTTATCAAACCTTGTTAAAAATATTGCTAATTATATATATTTAATGAATATTCATCTCCTACAAATGTTAAAAACAAAAATTAATCCTACAAATATTAGGGAAACCGAAAAGCAAACCAAAATGTTATTAAATCAAACCGGATTACAAGTAATATTATATGATCTCAATAGGAAAAGTGGAAAACAATACCCAAAACGAGAGAAAGTAATATTATATGATCTCAACTGTAAATAGTTTGATTTTGATTTTTGTAACTCATAAATCGAAAACTAAACCGGATTGTTTATTATATGGATTAGATTCAACGATTAGATTTTGTTTGATAAGAGAATTGGGCTGGTTGGTCCGGCCCACTACGGATTCATATTAGACCAAGAACTTAGGAAACCGTCATTTTTGTCTTTGGAGTTGACCATCTGACATCAACTCGCTCATCTATGCACGTGGGCCCAAATCTAAAAGCTTTAATTTAATTTTTATTTTCGTTTTCAAAGCTTTTTTTTTTAACTTTATTTCCATTGTTGTTGTTGTATTCCAACTTTGTTTGCCTCGCACTTCGAAAAATTACAAAATCACTTTGCCATTTTCTTCGGGTTTTCTATTTCCACCATTAAAGCGCAAGAAAAAGGAAACGTAAGGAGATAAATAGATAGAGAGAGAGAAGAGAGAGAAAGAGTGTGACTTTACTCTCTTCTTCCTCTGCAAATCTGACAGAGAAGAAAAAAGCCCTCTTTGATTAGGGTTTTTAACTTCACGGGGGGTTAACTTTTTCTGAGAATCTTGGGGGTATTTTAGGTGAGTGTTTTTGCGTATCTCTGTTTTCTCTCGATGTTGATGTTATTGAAATTGGAAGTTTTATTGAACTTCTCTTCCTCCACCTAACTTGGAGCTGTTTCTGTTGTTTTCAATTTCGTTTTTCTGGATCTTAAATTTTGAGATCTTTTAAAGCTCATGGTGGGAAATCTCGTTTCTTCCAAGTGACCTAAATCTACAAAGATGTCTTGGGTTCGATTCGCAATTGAGCAAAAAGACGGCACCTTTGCTTACCCACCACCGTTATACAAAGACCCAATTCTTTCCCCGCCGTCTCCACCACCGTCCGGTAACAGAATCAGCCCGGCGGTTCTATTCGTAATTGTGATTCTAGCCGTCTTGTTCTTCATCTCCGGGCTTCTTCACTTGCTCGTCAGGTTTCTCATCAAGCATCCTTCTCCTGCTACTGCTTCAAGGTCCAATAGATACCCAGAGATCTCAACTAGTGACGCTCTCCAAAGACAGCTTCAGCAGCTTTTCCATCTGAACGATTCTGGTCTCGATCAAGCCTTCATCGACGCTTTACCTGTTTTCCACTACAAAGAGATTGTCAGTGGTAGTAACGGCGCTGCACAAGAGCCGTTCGATTGTGCGGTTTGTCTCTGTGAGTTCACCGAGAAAGATAAGCTTAGATTGTTGCCGATGTGTAGCCATGCTTTTCACTTAAACTGTATAGACACTTGGCTTCAGTCGAATTCGACTTGCCCTCTCTGTCGCGGCACACTCTTTGCCCCTGGTTTCTCAATGGAGAACCCGATGTTCGATTTCGATGATATAAGAGAAGACGAAGAGTGTGTGGCCGAGAAAACTATGGAGATTCAAGAAATCGTCGTGGAGAAGGGAGTTTTACCGGTGAGGTTAGGGAAATTCAAGAGGCTTGACAATGTTGGTCATGGTCAAGAACAAGATGATGTTGTCTCTGTAGGAGAGACTAGTAGCAGTAACTTGGATGCAAGGAGATGTTTCTCGATGGGTTCGTATCAGTATGTACTTGGTAACTCGGAGCTTAAAGTCCCGTTTTGTAACGATAGGCAAAGGCGTTTGAAACCTAATCAGGAGAAAGAATCTGAGCAGATTATTGGGAATTCGTCATCTGAAGAGAAGAAGATCAATAGTGTGGCGAAAGGAGAGAGCTTTTCGGTTTCCAAGATTTGGTTATGGCCAAAGAAAGATAAGTTCTCTTCAGATGCTCAGAGAAGGTTGCCTTCCTCATCGCTTAACGTCGATGATCTTCCGAAACTTCCATGGATGGAAGATCATAAGAAGCTGGAGAACGAGGAAAGGTAGTGTCTTGTTCTTGTACTCATTTTTCAATTGGGATCAATGATATTTAGGGTTTACTGATCATATTTTGGGAGGGGTTTGGCAATCATCATCATCTGTTGTACCATATTGTTAAAAAAGATTTATAAAAAAAAACTGTTATTGCATTTTGGCTGTTAATCATATATGAGATTAAAATTAAATTAAGCATGCTCAACAATAATGGATTCCAAAAGACTGATGCTTTAGCTTTATTTTTATTATCTTTGCCTCTTTTCTTCTTCACTTTAGAGTCACTGGTTCTCTTTTCTTTCCTCTTTTCAATATACTTTGCTTTACTCTCTCAACAAATTCTCACTATTAACTTTTGAAATATACATAATCTTTGTCCTTGATGATATATAGTGTTCTTGATTGGTTTTTGGAATTTTAAGTGATATACACTCAAGTATAGTTAGAAAACAAACTAAAACTTTTGACTTGTGTTCACACAGAATCTAGTCTTTGGTTTAGGTAAAGAGTCAGTTGATTAGGAGTTGTTTTTTTTTTGGCTCTTTGTGTTAACCAAAACAAAAATGAAATCTTGCATAAACCAATTACCTTTTAAGACTTTATTTTCAAAAGTCTTTGGCTCTAATGGGTGGTTTATGTTAGTTGTTGTAGGGTCAATATGTTGTTTGACTCTTGAACTAAAAACCATCACCCACTCTATTTTGATTGATTGCACATAAATATATAAATAATTCAAAAGAATAACATGAACAATTAGAACTCTTATGGATCCATATAATATCCTAATGGTAATAGTTATTTTTTTACATTCTTATTTCTCTCATACATGTTTTAACACTATGTTAGTTTAGAACAGAAGCTTTGAATAGTTAAGTCTCTTGTGCTATAAACCGATCTTGAATTCTCAGATTTTGTTTACTTAAGATTCGATGGCCAAACCCACCAGGTGAATGATTGATCGATGTTGCTGAGATAATCTTGATTTGCTAATGGCATTAAAGTTGTGGAAGAGCTCATAGTTTCATCATCACCTTTAGAGTTAAGCTTGTCTTGCAAATTTCTTTGAGTTTGGTTTGTTGCAGGAAGAAGCATCTCAGTCAAAGTTAAGACCTGAAAGTTAAAAAAAAAAAAAACCTCTTTTAAGAAACTGAACTCAATTTATATGTCTATGGAGCTTTTTTTATTTGCTTACTTTGGATTTGAGTATCTCATTCTCTGAGATTACTGACTCATGTTTCTCCATGAGTGAATCGTAACAAGCCTTGAGGATATCGTAATCTCTTTCGATCTGCTTGATCTTGCATCGAGCTTTTCGATTCTGGAACCAAACAGCTACTTGTCGTTGAGGCAAACCAAGCTTCTTCGCTAGCTCAGTCTTTCTCTCTGGTTCCAGTTTGTTCTCTTCTTCAAAGCTCTTCTCCAGCAGATTCACCTTATACATACACATCAAAGAACCAGAAGAATCAGATATTTTTTTCGATTTTTCAAAATTTCAATCTCTGTGTTGTAACTTATAGATACTTGTTCAATCGTTAATCGGCGCTTTTTCTCCGGCGATTGATCATCGATTTCGCCGGGAAAATGCGTCCTTGTCGGAGTTTCTTTCGTTTCTATGGCGGATTTCGTTTCTGATTTAGCAACAAAATCACTAATTAGCAAGTTTCTTTCGAAATTTCAAAAGAGAGATTATTATTATTATTACCTTGAAAAACAAGAACGAGATTATTCTCAAGTGGAAGTGGTTCTCCGTGATCGTAATTGGAATCCATTGAGATAGTTGCCGGAATCAATGGAGGTGGTTTGTGTAAAAGAAGAAAATTAAAATCAATTGGGGGATTTGGAAATTAAACGATTCGTTAGAGATTCATGAGTTTGTGGCGGAAGAAACAACTCGTCCACAACAATCTCGCCGGAGTTACTAAAGAACAGAGGCAATCTCCCATCGTTTCGGAAACACGAAATCAAGAGTGGACCAAAAAACGATCAAATCAAATTGAAAGAAGGAGACTTTTCCACAGAATCTTCATCAAAACTATAAATAATTTTGTCGTTTTCTTGTTCTGAGATTCCTGTAAATCTTCGCGGGTAAAGTTTATGAGTAGGAGTGTTGGGTCTTTTTATAGGTGGTTTCAAAGGTGACTATGAAGTTACGGTTTTGCCCTTTACGCGGTTTGAGGTTCGAAGGTTTGAATTCTGAAGAATAAACGAATAATTAGAGAAGAAAGTGACTAAAAAGAAAAAAGAGAGAGAATAACTAGAACGTAGAAGAAAAAAAAAGTTTCTCGAAAAAGAAAAGAATATTAATATGTACGTAGTCGGTAAATTAGCACATATTCATTCTTATCCCTTTTAATAGTTACATTAGTTATATAAAATGGTATTTATTTTGATAATAGTTTAATACTAATAACATTTGCTGAGCCGAGTTCTTGGCTCTACAAGAGATTGTTGGCTCTTGGTGCACCCAACAATAGGTTAAGGTTGCACCAGTGGCATTTGCGATCTATTCTGGAAAAAAAAATTCATTCATTCATATGTAACAAATTTTCTTCAAATTATTGGTGCCAAATTACGAATTATCCAAGAGGTTTTTATTTAAAAATTGGGGGAAAAAACCCAAAAACTAGTTTTTTTTTCAAAATTCGAGTGGATAAGAAATTGGATATTAAAAAAAAAAACCTATTTAAAAATACATTCATAACCAAAAAAGTTTCCCATCAGATTGTATATCTCTCTTGTTGGGCGGTGACCATATTTTTTAAGCCATAATGTGTTTGTGTTGGGTATAAGAGTCTCTCAAAGATCAAACCAGACGATAACAAATCCGTCTAAAATTAATATTACAAACCGAACTTCATAGTTCAGAACGAAGTACCCTAAACAGTGATTTCTTGACTCAATATTAGTAACAAAGTAAACTATATATAATAATATCGAACATTTTATTTAGGCGTTAACATATTCGGTCGGAAATTTAGCATTTAAAATATTACAATAAGGTGTTGCAATTGCCATTTGATTTGAAGCCGAAGATAGAGTAGATTATGCAAGCTGTCTGCTGATGATTTCAACATCAATCGTATCAGAATTTTCTGAGTGAATATATCAAAACCTAAATCTTTTAACTAGATATTTAATTTCTTACTCATATTGAATCAAGATTTATATTATTGTTTTGGGTACTATACGTTCTGAATTCTGAGCTATGTAATTTTTCACTTTGTGCTATTAGCCTTCGGCAGTTTTGTTTTCGTTTGGTTTGATTTTTGAGAAATTCTGATTTTTAATGTAGAATCTAGCCAACAAAAGGATATACAAGCGAACGAGAAACTAAAGTAGATATTCAGTGGAAAATACACGGTAATACATTCTTGGAGATTATCAAACTTCTCTTGTGGAATTCTTCAAAGTTTGGTTGATTCTTGCATTATATTGACCTCAAATGACACACACATATATATACATATATATATGCGTATCATTTGATATATATTCCCTAATCATCCAAAAAACGATTTTTTTAATATATATTCTTCTTTTTGGGTTATGTTTGCATATGTGTAGAATGAATTTGTGCAACTTGAAGATCAAGTCGGGGATTTAAACCCCATGTCGGACCTGGAGAGATCAGATATGTCTGCTTGAACTTGAATTCAAGATCAAACATTTTCAGTCATGAATGTTAATTTCTGAATAATTTTGTAGTTTCAGCAAATGCAAACGTTAGAAACGATTATAACATATAATGAGACATACCGGGATGACGATACTTAATCCCATATACTTCTCTAGATTCTTGCGCAGTTTCTATGCGGTAATTTTTTAGCCACCCTCCATATACATGAAAATATGAATAAGATTCAAAGCTAAGATTCGTTTAATCCACACCTATCGTAAAAAATCAAATATCAGTTTTTTTTTTCTTGTGACGTTTATTCTAATCACTTTCATTTTATTCAAACCTTCTGCAGCAAATATCTACATATAATATGATTTTTTGTGGTTTATATACTAATTAGGGTAAATTAATGGTGCGTACGTACCAGCTAACAAACTTTGCCTTCTTGTGTTTGAATTGTAGCTTTGCCAGGTTCTCTTGGAGTGGGACCAAAGCGGCTGCACACGGGGGTCAATATTTGCCTACAAAAAAAACAAAAACAAATCATATATAGTTATGTATTTTTTATTAGAAGTATCATATGTCTTTTGAGGTTATGTATTGTGGATTATAAATTGGAAGTAAGATCACCAAAAGATATATATCATGGTTGTTATATAGCACAAGTGCCACGTCCTCTTTAAGACGTCGAGACGTTGAGTTGTAGCCGAGGACGTCATCGTTCGGTCAAATCGTATATCCACACTTCTCATCACCATCTTTATACCATGTTGTAACTTGAATCGCAAAACTAAGAAAGCTTCCGTCGATCTTTGAACTCCGATTTGACTTCTCTTTGCTCACAACTCACTCAAGAACGAAACAACACGAAACAAAGAAAGAAAGTACACAGAAATTTAACGAGTTCGGATTTTCTGAATGAGAAATCCTACATCTCAGCCTGGAGATCCAAGCAATCCACTAGATCACTTACTCGATTACAAATTTCTCCTCTCTCTCTGTTACAATCAATTTCCGATCAAAGAGAGAAGACGTTCACGCTTCAGCTATATACTGAAGTCTATTACAAAGGATTAACCGGTTACTAAACTAAACCGTAAACCAAAAAGAGAGCTAATAACCAACACTTCCAATCGAGCATAACCAGCACCTCCAATCGAGCATAACCAGCTCCGGTTCAAGCCCAGTGTAGATTTGATTTTCCATCACCAAAGCCCAACAAACTCCACCTTGATGACAATCAACTCTAACTTGCTGAAAAATCCTTGCAAACGCGAACTTCTCCAGGCAGCTCCAAGCAACTAGTGCTGAGCTAAACCGAGAAAACTCAAGGCTTTTTCAAACTTATCCACTGGAAGAACCTTAGTCAACATATCAGCTGGATTCTTGGATGTACAGATCTTCTGAAGTTTTACTTCTCCTTCTGCGACAATATCCCTGATAATATGAAGTTTCCTGCTGATGTTTAGTTCTCTCGTGATGCACATTATTCTTTGCCAAACACAGAGCACTTTGAGAGTCACACCAGATATTCACGGATTCTTGCTTGAACCCAAATTCTTCTGCTAAACCTTTTAGCCAAATGCCTTCCTTTATTGCTTCAACAAGAGCCATATACTCTGCTTCTGTCGTAGACAAAGCAACAACATGTTGAAGACTTGACTTCCAGCTTATCACATTCCCACCAACCGTGAAAACATAACCCGATATTGACCTTCTTCTGTCCAGATCCGAAGCAAAATCAGAGTCACAAAACCCTTCCACTTTAAACTCTTCATTCTTTCTGAAAACCAACTTCAAGTCTTGTGTTCCCTTCAAGTACCTCAGAACCCACTTGACTGCTGACCAGTGAACCATACTCGGCTTGCTCATATATCTACTGACCAAACCTACTGCATAAGCAAGATCACACCGCGTACCGATCATTGCATACATAATGCTCCCAATGGCATTAGCATACGGAACATCGTCCATTACAGTTTCCTCTTCATCGTCTCTTAAGGCTGATAACTTGAAGTGAGATCCGATGGGTGTAGACATAGATTTTGAGTCATCCATGTTAAACACCTGAAGGATCTTCTTCACGTATCTGGACTGAGACAAAGTCAGGACACCATTCACTTTGTCCCTGTGAATATCCACGCCCAAGATCCTGCTTGCTGGACCTAGATCTTTCATTTCGAAACGCTTGTTCAGTAGCTCTTTTACATGTCTGATCTCTTCCACTTCCTTTGCAGCCACTAACATGTCGTCCACATATAGGAGAAGATAGATAAGACTTCCATTATTTCCCTCCTTTATGTAGACACAGTGATCATAATCGCTTCTTTTGAAACCGTGACTGACTACGTATTGATCAAAACATTTATTCCATTGTCTTGGAGCTTGCTTCAAACCGTAAAGAGCCTTTTTCAGCAGACAAACTTGTTTCTCCTTCCCTTTCACTTTATATCCCTCTGGCTGTTCCATGTAGATCTCTTCCTCTATTAACCCGTGAAGAAAGGCAGTCTTCACATCAAGCTGCTCAAGCTCGAGGTCCTGATTGACTGTTATTGACAATAGGAATCTGATCGAGACATGTTTCACAACCGGAGAAAAAACTTCTTGGTAATCTATCCCTTCTTTCTGAGAGTAACCTTTCGCAACCAGTCTGGCCTTGTATCTTGGCTTTTCAACTCCTGGTATCCCCGGTTTCAATCTGTAAACCCATTTACAACCAATGACCTTTCTGTTAGTAGATCTCTCAACCAGTCTCCACGTTTTGTTCTTCTCTAGAGACTCCATCTCTTCGTCCATACCGTCATCCCACAGATCTTTGTCTACGCTCTTCATTGCTTCTTGATAATCTATAGGGTCCTCTGAGCTTATCTCAGCTGCTGCAATGAAAGCAAAGGATGACATATCATAGTCATTAAACTTTGCTGGAGGAGCTGTCTTCCTGCTTGGTCTCTCTCTCACTGCTTGATGACTACTTCGCTGAACTGAGCTCGGAGCAGGCTGTTCTTGACCGGAAGCATCCTCTTCGTCAGATTCTGAATCACTAACGTAAACTGGCCCTGTTTCTGTTGCTCCACCTGAGACAATATCTTGTTCTTGATTCCCTGACCCAATACTTGCTCCGATGACAGTCTTGACTAGACTGCTACCATCCTTACTTCCCTCTGAAGTCTTCTCACTCTGACCATCTTTTATATCCTTGTAGACCTTATCTTCAAGAAATTTGACATTTCGAGTGATCATACACTTCTCCTCTTCTAGAAGCCACACCTTGTATCCTTTTACTCCAGGTGGGTAGCTTAAGAAAATGCCTTTTAGCGCCCTTGGTTTCAACTTTCCTTGATCCTTGTGAACGTACACAACAGACCCAAACCTTCTTAGATGTTTGTATCCAGGCTTCTTTCCGAGCCATAGTTCTTCAGGAATGTTGCTGTCAATTGCTGATGAGGGACTCCTGTTGATCTG